GGAAAATTTTTCTTAAATTCGGCCTCCTTTATCTTAAATGTGTTTAGGCATGTTTTAACAATTTTTTTTTGCAGATCTGTCACAAGGCCAGCCAATTTGTGTACACTGCTCAATTATAACAACAAAATTTTTATTTTTTGGTAATGTTGCGGTTCTTCTTTTACCATATTCTGATATTTCATCTTTTTCAGCATTGATTTTCTTTGTGCTTTCTTATTTTTTGCATAACATTACCTTTTTCTTTTTTATTATAATGCCTGACTTCTTTTTATTGTTTGTTATTTCTGGATTCTTTTCATATATTTTTGGCATCATAGTAATATAATTTAGGCCCCAAAACGAATTGTCATTGATTACTCATTTTGCCCTAGAAGAAATTATTTTTAATAGTTTTGCTAATGGTTTATAAAAATAATAATATTTTCTATGAAGTTTCTTGCAATTTTTTGTTTTTGATAATCTTACAGAAAACTGGTAATTTCTTTCATATCTATATTATATATATATATATATATATATATATATATATATATATATATATATATATATATATATATATATATATATATATATATATATATATATATATATATATATATATATATATATATATATATATATATAAGGGGGACAAGAATTTCTCGGTTATTGGAAGCAAGTTTTGTTCTCCATAAGCTTTTTTTAACAGACTCATGCACTCGGTCATTTATTTATAGGGAGTTTACTGTATATATATATATATATATATATATATATATATATATATATATATATATATATATATATATATATATATATATATATATATATATATATTAATATGATAAGTAATATAAATTAATTTTTATTTTTTTTATATATTGTTTTTATATATTGTTTTTATATAATTGTATATTTTGTATGTTGAATTTTTAAAGAAATTTTAATGGTTTAAAGTTGTTATTATAAGTTACATTGAGTTTAAACAACAATTGTGTTTTAAAGAAATATAAAAAATTTCAAGTCAAAAACAACACAAAATTGAAAGTAAATTCCTTATTTTAAAATTATTTTTTTTAAAAAAAAGTAAACCCAATGTTATATAGTATTAACAAGTCTAGTTTACAGTCAAAGTAGTTTACAATCAAACCTGTATAAATTAGAATTAAAACAGTGGCCAGGTGAGCTTAATTATGCAAAATAGAAGACTTTATCCCAGTATCTAATAGCATTGTTCAAAGTAGACTACTAGTATTTAGGTTAACATTATCTCAATTTTGTTATAGTAAATATAGTATTTTAGATTTCTATTCACATAAATAGGCGAGGTTTAAGCTAAATCAGAATTTAAATCTACATTATTTTTGGTACAATAATGTATATGGAATTAATACCAACAATCAATAAAACAAAAACTTAAGTAAATAAAAATTTCAAATAAAAAGCAAATCTGCTTTTGTCTAAATTTGATTTGAGATTTAATTTAAAACTGATAAGATTAATCACCGTTTAAGAGTTCACCATTTCAGTTTACTAAGCTACAAGAAAGTTAAATTGTAGTAGTTATAAAAAAATAAAAATAAAACAAAGTTACTGATCTAACAAATATGATGTTACTAAAATATATTATAAATAAGTAGGGAATAGATTTAATTTCACTATATATTATTCTGATATTGTCGTAATAATAGTTGTAAAAATAATTTTTATTGTGTAAATATTACTCAATTTCCAAGTTATTTTCTAGTTATTCTGATTTTAAAATCACAAGGCACAGATTTTTTTAGATGTTTTTAAGTTAGCTTACTTTTACTTTAAGTTTTTTTAAAACGCTTTTTTGTTCATCTACAAGATATATGGCTTTTTTTTATGCACCAAAAAACAATTTGATGAAATTAATTTTAAATTATGATTCTTTTCTAAGAAAAGCAGTTATTTTTTTTATTAGTATTATTATTATTTGTAGTTTTTCTCAAGCAGAGATAAATACCTTTGTAAAGAGATTTTTGTTTTTAAATTAACTTGTGTTTGCCTTGACCAGATCTCAATTTGTGTGTCTTAAAAAAAAGTTTTGAATCTGATCACAAACCATCATTTGCAAAAGATAGCACAAGTACATCATAGTTCAGATAAATTATTCTCAATAAATTTGTATGTTTAAAATTTTTTATTTTCATTTTTTTTAGCAATTAAGACAAAAGGTTTTTTTATTGGATAAGGTTAGTTTATTAATTCAATTAGTGAAGCAATTTATGGACCATGAATTAATTTGGATATAAATTCTCATCCAACTTGAATTTATAGAGGATGCAAGACAAAATCATACTTTTGAACAGAATTGTAAGGCCTTCAGTAAAGCTGTAGCTTTACTGAAAGCCTAACTAGATGATTTGTTTTTTGAACGATTGTTGTCAAAATAAAAAGTTAAGTAGAATGAAACAAGAAGATCTGCTCTTGTGGTATATGCTCCGTCGAACAAGGATAAATACATCCATTTTTTTATTGTTTTAATTTTCTATAAAAGCTTTGATCTTCAAAAAAATAATTAATTTTAATTATTTTTTTGAAGATCAAAGCTTTTATAGAAAATACTATTATTTTAAAATTAGTGAATTTTTTATACTTTTTAAGCAAAAATTTTTTTTTTCTTAATCTCTTGTTTGTCACGTGTTTAACAAAAAAATAACGTCTCTAAGCAAAAATAAAATTAGGCAAAAGAAAGTTATTTTGTGAAAGATATGGTTTATAACTGATATAACTATAAGTTTACATAATATAAAATTTATATAATATAATTATATAATATAAAGTTTATATATATAAACATAACAAGACAAATGTCTTGTTACGTTTATATAATGAGAAATTTTTTATAAAATTAGTTATATTATTTAATTTTTATTCGGTTTATTGTTTATTTATATGTATACTGATATTAATTTACAAACTAATATATAATAATATGTATACGAATATTAATTAACACATTACAAATTCTGTTTAAAAAACATGCGTTTCACTATTTTTTTTTTTTTTGTGGTTTTTTCATCTGGTTTATTATTACGTTATATTTAGATTACGCTAAGTTTAAATTACGGTTATAACGTCAGAAAAAATAACAGTTACTAAATTCTTTTTTATTACTTTTATTTTTCGTTTTATTTATTTCACATCATTATACTTAATAGAATTAATAGTTTATTTTCTGTATAAAATAATGTATAATTTATTATTCGACGTGTTATCAAGCTTAAAAGGTGATCTAAACGTTTTTTTTTTGTGAACTCACAAATACTTTCATTTTAAACGGTTGCGATAGTTACGATATAATTCTATAAAACTAAGCGGTTGATTTAAATTTTTTGTTCGAATTTGTGAAAAGATTTTTATAAAGTTCGATCATCGAGTTTTATGTATATAAAACCAAACGTTTTGTTTTTTTGGAAAAAGTACGAAATTATTCTGTTACCATTGTTTATTAAACTTCACACTGGTCACAAATACTTTTAAAAATTCGTAAGTAAGTATCCTTCAGTTTTATATTCGTTTATTTGTTTTTATTAAAAAAGTTTATGTTTTAAAACAAAATTTATAATGTTACATAACCTTAACTTACGACGACTGTTTTTCGTGTAAATTTGATGATAATAAGTATTTTTTTATTGTTGATATATTAGTTAAATTATATTGTAAATATTCAAGATTAAGGTGCTAAAATGTGTAAACCTTTAAATTTAATGTAACATTTTTTATAATATTTTGATTTCTATCTTTAAGCTTATTTTTTTAAATATAATATAGCAAATAGATACGTGTTTTTATAATGTTCAAACTTTTTTTATATTTAATCTCTTGGAAATGCGATAATTGAGTTTGAATGAGTGAGTTTTTTTTTATGGAAAGGTAAATCGAAAATAGATTTAGAATATTATAAATTAAGATTTAGAAAATATGTTAAAAAATAAATCAACTTGCCTTCAAAATGTTAGTGGTGCAAAAAAAAAAAATGCATATTTATAAACCTTGAAAAAAATTCCTTTATGAAGTATAAGGTAAGACCTTCGTCACAAAAACTCTACGCTACAAAAAATATATTTTCATCGCGTAGAATTTATTGATTTACAAATTTTTTACTTTAAAAAATGTTTGGCATGCTTTAGTATGCAAAAAAACTAGTACAGTATGATAATGGTATGTAAGTACCTATGCCATACTAATTTTAAAACATACTGAGCTATTATTTAATTGCATTTTTACCCGTTTATTTTTAATCGTTCGTCTAAGTTTGATATTTTAGAAAAAACCTGTTTCTTTTGCTAAAAGTTTCAGAGAAATATGATTTACATGAAACAATTGTGAATGAGGAATTATTTTCTTGTTTGCGTTGAAATGATTGTTTCATGGATTTAATTTTTACTTTTTAAAACAAAATGTCGTTTGATGTGATGTTATTGTAATTTTTAAATTCAATCGGTTTATCTTATGTTTGTTGCTTGTTTTTATATATTATATATATTACATTTTGTAGCTTTAATGATGAAATTATTTTGATTTTGATGTGTAAATGTCTCATGATTATGAATCTTTTATGTGTGTGAACAACCGTTCTAATTTTTGTTATGTTATTATAAATATGTTTAATTTATAACTTATATTTAAATTATTTTGTTTTAGAAATATGATGAATTAACAAAATTAAAAAATTGTCTTTTTTATTATATTTTATATTACATTTTTATATATATTTATTTTTCATATGAATTATTTTATCTAAAGGTTTCACACTTTTATTATTTTTTTATATCTTTTTAATTTAATATAAATTTATGTATATAATATTATTGTATAAAATATAGTCTATTTAATAAAAATAAAAAATTGTATGTTTTTTATTCAATCATTAGTTAATAAAAATTATATGTATGAATATGTAGAATATTATAATGTATATAATTTTATAATTTTGATTATTATTTTTATTATTTGTTCATTTTTATAATTAATATTTATTTTTACTTTAGATCGTCTAAGTAAAAGTGATTACTATAAAGATTACCACTATTTATTCATTGAATGTTTTTATGAAAGTCAATCATCATTTAATGATGAAATTAAATCAATTGTTGATGAACGAGATTGGATTTCGATTTACGATGGAAAAACTTCTTACGAAACTTCTTGCGAAAATTATTTCATAAATCATTACGTAAAATCTGGAAGAAAGTTATCGAGGTTAAGTGTTAATAAAAATATTTTAAGTGATGAAGAAGAAAAACTTTTAATACAATGTTCAACTAATGTTCGCGATGTCAGCTTCCAATTAATTTGTCCAATTAATATCGAAGGTTGGAAACCGAAAGATAAGATTGAAAAGTTGACGATATGGATCTCACGTTATTTAATAACAAAAAAAGATTTTGAAGAAAATTTTCTTCCGTGGATTTATCTTTGTAAAGAATTATATCTTTATCTTCACGACGACATTGATTTTGATAAAGAATTTTATGAATGGATTCGTTGTTCGAATGTCAAGAAGTTTTCGATCATGTGCCGTGGAGAATTTTTTTATAACCTCGATGAATTAAAAAACTTTACAACACGATAAAATATTTAATACCTTAAATATATTAAATAAAAACAATAACTATAAATAACTATTGAAATATTTAATTTATTATTTTATAATAAATACGTTTTTAAATATACAAATTAATTTTACTAGTTTATTAGATTTAGTATTTAAAAGTTTAATTTTTTATTATTAAAATATTTTATAAATAATTCGTTTTTAAATATATTAATAGTTATAATTATGATATAAATTATTAAATATATTATTATAGTATATAAATTTTCATATATATTATTATTATTAATAATATTATACTTGTAAAATTATAAATTACGGTACATGATTTATTGTTGTTTTTTTTTAAATATAATATTTTCAGTTTTTAATTATTATGTTCTTAATATATAATTTTTTAAATAATATTGTTAATAAATATTTGTTTTAATAAATAATAAATGTTTGTTTAATATTTTATTTATATTAATTATTTTATGTTATGTGATGTTTAAGAGTTAAATTAAAAAATCTAAATATGCAAATTAAAATAAAATGTTAATTTTTTTTATTTTATTTTCAAATAATATCGTATTTAAGAAGTACATATAGTTACCTAACTAACTGTTGTACAGATAGCACCTAGCATTGATATCTTTTAAAAGAATATCTTTTAAATCTTTTAAAAATATCTATTTTAACAATGGGATTAGTTTAGTTATTAAATAATGATCATAAAGTTTTAATCTTTAATTTTTGTTTCAGATAATTATACTGTAAATGTAAAACATCATTAAGATTACATAACATCATTAAGTAAAATTATTGATTAAAATTTTTGCTGAAGTATTAAAAATAATAATATAAATATTATTAATATAAAATAGTATTATTAATATAAAAAAATTCGTCTGTATTCCTAATAACCCACCCATTAAAAAAAAAGTAAAAATGTTTAAAAGAAGCTTTAAAAAATTTGATTCTGATTCTTTTATCCAAGAAATTTCCGATATTAACTGGGAGCTTCTCATAAAAGAAGATGATAACATAAACGATTCTATAAATTTTTTTCTTAAAACATTCGAAAAAATATTAGACCGATATGCTCCCTACAAAGAACTAACAAAAAAACAAATTAAACTTCAATCTAAACCCTGGATAACTTCTGGTATTCTTAAATCAATTTCTAATAAAAACATACTCTATAAAAAATTTACTAGATCAAAAAATGTGAATACAAAAAATATATTATTTGCTAAATTTAAGTTATACAGAAATAAAATTAGTTATTTGTTAAGGTATTCTAAAAAATTGTACTACGCAACTTTTTTCAATAGCAACATCAATAATGTAAAAAATACCTGGAAAGGAATTAAGGAAATCATAAACATCAAACCATCTACTTCTACTAAGTCTTTTAACCTCAAAATCAATGAAAATGTCATCTCAGATCATACCAGCGTTGCTAATATATTTAACAATTATTTTACGACTATTCAAGACGAACTACTTAAAAATACTGTTCCCTCTAAATGTGCTTTTGGCAACTTTCTTAAAATACCTAGTATTAATTCTTTTTTCATTGAGCCCGTGACTGAAAATGAGGTGGCGAATCTCATAAAAGATACTCTTAAAAATAATAAAAGCCTTGGTCCCAATAGTCTGCCAACATTTTTACTAAAGCTGGTATCTCACATAATCTCCAAACCTCTATCTACTATGATGAATAATTCTTTCAAAAATGGTATTTTTCCAGAAGCTTTTAAGGTAGCCAAAGTAATTCCTATACACAAAATGGGTTCTTATCTAGACTACTCCAATTATCGACCTATTTCACTTCTTTCTAACTTAAGTAAACTATTTGAAAAAGCAATGTTCCAAAGACTCGAGCATTTTTTGGAAAAACATAAATTTATTTACAAACACCAGTATGGTTTTCGCAACAAACACTCAACAACTCATTCATTAATAGAAATAACAGAGAAAATTAGACAAGCAATCGATAATAAACACTTTGCGTGTGGAGTGTTTATTGACATTAGAAAAGCATTTGATACAGTTGAGCACACAATCCTCTTAGAAAAATTGAAACACTACGGTATAAGAGGTATTCCTTTTCTCTGGTTTTCCTCTTATCTTTGTAATAGAACACAATTTGTTTCAATTAATGGTATCAACTCAGGACTAGCTAAATCTTTTAATGGTGTTCCGCAAGGCTCGGTTTTAGGTCCATTACTTTTTCTTATTTTTATCAATGATTTAAATGTTTCTCTTAAATTTTCTACTGCTTACCACTTCGCGGATGACACCAACTTACTCCTAATTAATAAATCACTTAAAAAACTTAACAAAAATATGAATCACGATCTAGCTAATGTTGTTCAATGGCTCCGCTCCAATAAATTATCTCTTAACTCTAAAAAAACGGAAATTATTATATTTAAATCTGCTAAAACAAAAATAAATAAGCAATTAAATTTCAGATTAAGTGGCCAAAAAATAAATCCAGTTAACTCTATTAAATATCTTGGAATCTAAATAGACTCTAATTTATCTTTTGCATTGCATCTTCAAGACTTAGCATTGAAATTAAGCAGATCAAATGGTATTTTAGCTAAAATTCGTCATTTTGTTAACCATGAAACTTTGCTTAATTTATATCATGCTATTTTTCACTCTCATCTCAGATATGCTTGCCAAGTTTGGGGACAATCTAAGCAGCTTGCTTTTTTAAGACTAACTTATCTCCAAAACAAAGCTCTAAAATTAAGTTACTTTCAACATACTAATTCGAACTGTAGCATACTCTATTTTTTATCTAAAGTCCTAAAATTGTGTGACCTTATTCAGCTATCAAATTGTCTATTTGTTTGGAACCAAAATCATAATAACTTACCACTTACATTTATCAACTTTTTTAGTTATAGGGAAAACTGTAAATATATTCTACGATCTGCTCTCAACTTTAAATTATCTGTACCTAAATACCGAACTGTTCATTACGGCTACGAATCCATACAACATAAAAGCATACAAACCTGGAACAATCTCCCTTCCCAATTAAAATCTTTTAAATCATTCTCAAAATTTAAAACTGCTCTCTTTAACCATTTTTTAGAAAAATACTCTTTATAAATCTTATACCTTTTTACAACTTATTATTTATAACGCAGTGCTTCTATTCATCTTTTAATTTTTCTTATTTCTATCGTGATATATTACTAATTTTATTACCAATTATTAAATTTATTATTATAAACTGATATGTTTCTATAGTATTCCTTATCACTGTTGTTGTTATTATTATTATTATTGCTATTATTATTATTATTATTGTTACTATTATTATTATTATTATTATTATTATTATTATTATTATTATTATTATTATTATTATTATTATTATTACTATATTTTATATCATAATTTATATCATAATGAATATTATTGTAATTGTTATTATTGTTTTTGTTATTATTTTTGTTGTTATTATTGCTATTATTATTATTATTATTATAGTATATTCTTTTTATAATAGCTACTATTATTTTTTTTTTATCACTATAATCACTACTATTACTTTTATTATTCCTACTTATATTATAATTATTATTATTATCTCCATCTTGTTTTTTATTTATTTTGACAGGTGTTTACTTTATATTAGTACAAATTACTATTTGTAAATATCCTTGATGTAACAACTTTATTCAGAATATTCAGAATATATATATAAGAAAAAGTCATAAGTTTTTAAGTTGATTGAATTTTGAATAAAACTACTTGTTTTATTAGATTTGCACTTTTTATAAACCTTTTACACAAATTTATGTTTACAAAAAAATAACTTTTCAAGGTTTTCGCCATTGTTTCTTGAAGAGATCAACAAAATAAAAAAAGTCTTCGTCATCAAAAAAAAAATTCGATGGTTTAGTAGAATTTTTCTTAGAAGATTTTTAGTTCGAAATTTCATATTTTATCTGACGTTTTTACTTAATTTTAAACCGACTTTAAATTTTCCTTAAACGATCAAAAATTTTTATATAAAATGTTAATAAATATTGAAACAAATATTTTAAGTAAAAATACTTTTTTTTAAATGGTTTTCATTTTTTTTGTAAAAAGTTTTGTTCTCTCTCTCCATAAGTAGCAGTTTTAAAACGTAATTTTAATTACCGAAAACTATAATATTTAGAAAATATAGTAAAAAAACAATGGAAGAATTTAAACTACTTTTTAAGCTAGAAAGAATTAAATTAAAACCAACTAAACATTTAATCTTTTTTAGAAAAATTCAGTTTCAATAAACACCGCGTTTAAATGTTTCTAAAACCGCGAATGAAACTTTATTAAACGATCGTAATAAAAATAAGCAAAAAATAATTTGAGTACGCAAGTCTTGATTTTCAAAAGTTACGCGAACATTTTCAATGCCAAAGAGATAAATAATGGTCTTATGTTACGTTAAGGCCATTTGTTAACAAAACTGCAGCTAGCAAGTACTGTGACAGTAAAACCACAACTTTTTTGAACAAATTTAGTTATGTTGAATAACAACAATATAAATAAGTAAATACTTTTTTATAATTTAAATATAAAAAACTATTTTAATTCAAAAATCTTTAAAATTCTGTTTTTAATGTAAGAAAAATTCACGTTTTAAAATCTTTTTTAAATTTTGAAACTTATAAAAAAACATTAAAACAAACTATGTGGCTTAATGTATGGATATATTAAATTGCCGTTAAGCAACCATGCAATGATTGTCGTTTATAATGGCACAGTGCGGGAACTTCAAAATTTGCACCCCCCCCCCCTCCGCAAAAGAATGTTTTTTTTGCGGAAAAAGTTTTATAGTATATATTATTATTGAGAGTATAACTTTATTTATATGAAGGCCCCCTATAGCTGGTAGGCCCCCCCTTTCCCCGCAACGCAGGGTCCTGCATCCAGTAGTTCCGCCACTGTAATGGCAGTTTAAATCGTGACATTAAACGCAAAAATAATTTTTAAAGAACAAAGTAAACAAAAATAACTCTTGTAAACAAAATCAACTGTTGTTCATTTTTTAAAGGTTGTCGGTAAAATGCGAACCGCG